GGGAGCTTTTTGATGTTTTCAAAACCTTAGGGTCCTCTGTAAGTCCTGCAGTGCATGATGTTTCCAAAAAGCCTTCGGGAGCTTTTTGATGTTTTCAAAGCCTTAGGGTCATCTGTAAGTCCTGCAGTGCATGATGTTTTCAAAAAGCCTTCGGGAGCTTTTTGATGTTTTCAAAGCCTTAGGATCATCTGTAAGTCCTGCAGTGCATGACGTTTCCAAAACGCCTTCGGGAGCTTTTTGATGTTTTCAAAGCCTTAGGGTCATCTGTAAGTCCTGCAGTGCATGATGTTTCCAAAAAGCCTTCGGGAGCTTTTTGATGTTTTTAAAGCCTTAGGGTCATCTATAAGTCCTGCAGTGCATGATGTTTCCTAAAAGCCTTTGGGAGCTTTTTGATGTTTTCAAACCTTAGGGTCATCTGTAAGTCCTGCAGTGCATGATGTTTCCAAAAAGCCTTCGGGAGCTTTTTGATGTTTTCAAAGCCTTAGGGTCATCTGTAAGTCTTGTAGTGCATGATGTTTCCAAAAAGCCTTCGGGAGCTTTTTGATGTTTTCAAAGCCTTAGGGTCATCTGTAAGTCCTGCAGTGCATGATGTTTCCAAAAAGCCTTCGGGAGCTTTTTGATGTTTTCAAAGCCTTAGGGTCATCTGTAAGTCGTGCAGTGCATGATGTTTCCAAAAAGCCTTCGGGAGCTTTTTGATGTTTTCAAAGCCTTAGGGTCATCTATAAGTCCTGCAATGCATGATGTTTCCAAAAAGCCTTCGGGAGCTTTTTGATGTTTTCAAAGCCTTAGGGTCATCTATAAGTCCTGCAGTGCATGATGTTTCCAAAAAGCCTTCGGGAGCTTTTTGATGTTTTCAAACCTTCGGGTCATCTGTAAGTCCTACAATGCATGATGTTTCCAAAAAGCCTTCGGGAGCTTTTTGATGTTTTCAAAACCTTCGGGTCATCTGTAAGTCCTAAGCCTTAGGGTCATCTGTAAGTCCTGCAGTGCATGATGTTTCCAAAAAGCCTTTGGGAGCTTTTTGATGTTTTCAAAGCCTTAGGGTCATCTGTAAGTCCTGCAGTGCATAATGTTTCCAAAAAGCCTTCGGGAGCTTTTTGACGTTTTCAAAGCCTTAGGGTCATCTGTAAGTCCAGCAGTGCATGATGTTTCCAAAAAGCCTTCGGGAACTTTTTGATGTTTTCAAAGTCTTAGGGTCATCTGTAAGTCCTGCAGTGCATGATGTTTCCAAAAAGCCTTCGGGAGCTTTTTGATGTTTTCAAAGCCTTAGGGTCATCTATAAGTCCTGCAGTGCATGATGTTTCCAAAAAGCCTTTGGGAGCTTTTTGATATTTTCAAACCTTCGGGTCATCTGTAAGTCCTACAGTGCATGATGTTTCCAAAAAGCCTTCGGGAGCTTTTTGATGTTTTCAAAAACCTTCGGGTCATCTGTAAGCCCTTCAGTGCATGATGTTTTCAAATATTTTCATCCTACTCAATAGAGGCCAAATGAAAAAATTATTGTCTTTTTCGTCTTTACTCTATTCTTGTTAACACAAGAATGAGCAAAGAGGGGCAACTGTAGACATTAATTTTTTCATAATAATAATTATAATTATTATTAATATAATATATTATTATTATTATTATTTATTAAATATATATATATATATTACAAATTGCATCAAAGGCCCAATCCAGTACAGGCCCGATCAACCGGCCCAGACCAAAATAAAACCCTAAACATTTAGGGTTTCAACTAAGGTTTCTAAACCCGAGCTCCCAGCCGCCGTTTCCAGAAGCCCCGCGCGGCGGCGCCTCATGTTTCCAGAAGAGCCCAGCTGCCACCTCCAGGTGTTCCACCCCGCTGTAGCCACGACATCACCGCCTCTTCGAAGACTCCAGAAACATCACGCCGGCCGTCCACGTCTCAGCTATGGGGTGAGTCACCACATAGTTTGGTGACTCACCGAAGTTTCCACTCTTTAACCAGTCCGAGAGGAGCGCCGTGGTGGCTATAAAAGCCACCGTTACCTGCAAAATAAAGAACATACACAGCCACGGAGAGCAAGAAAAAACCAAGGAGGAAGAACCAGAGATAACCAAAATAGAGGGGCAACCAACACACAAACAAAGAGCAACGGAGAATAAGAGACCACAATAACGACGAATACGAACAGACAGTAACCACCCACAGCAGCCAAATATTGAAAGAAAAAAGAGGAGAGAAACTTACCGAGGAAACCATAGTCATCGAAGCCTCCTTGTGTCGTCGGAAAGGCGAATACCGAAGGTGACAAGCTTAGATCTAGGTCGGTTTAAAGAATTTTAGGCTAAATAGGACTCGGTTTTGGCTTTAGGGAATTTAAGGCTTTGTTTTGGTGTATTTTAGAATTTGCCGGCCACCGTTAACGGCGGTCGACAGCGGTGGTCGGATCCCGGCAGCGGTGGCTAACCGGGACTCTCTTCTCTCATTTCAGAGAGAAGCCAGAGAGAACTCTGGCTCTCTCTAAGTTTTGAGAGAGAAGAGAAAGGAATAAATGAGAGGCTGGCCGGGCCAGCCGGTTTCGGGTATTTATACCCTCTCCCAAACGACGTCGTTTTGGGGGAGGGTGTTTCTGTAATTTCCATAAAGGGTAAACCCTTTCCGCAGTGTTCTATGTTTATAATACTTACAAATTAGTCACTACAAGTTATTTTTATTTATTTTAATTTGGTAGTTGAATTTTAATATATTATGTTTTAGTCATTAATCAGTAAATATATAAATTTTTGGTAAATAACTATATTAGTCCCTATTAATTTTATTTATTCTTATTTTAATCACCTAGTAATAATTAGGGTTAATTACACTATTAGTTTTTATATTTTTATTTTACTTCGAATAAGGGCCTTTAATTTATATTATTTATATTTTAATTACTAATTATTTTTACTATAAGTTTTTATTTTATTATTTGTACCTATCATTTTAATTTTATTGATTTTTGTCCTTGTTTATTTATATGTTAATTTTATATATTTACTTTTAATTATTATTACTATTATTATTATTATTTAGCCATAAATATATATTTATATAATAAATAATATTTATTTTATTTATTAAAATCTTATTTAATTACTTGTAACTTATTTTAATCATGTTTTAATATTTATTTATTTTTCAATATTAAGAAAGGGCAGTCTTAAAACAACTGGATGTCTATTTTCTGATATTTTTAAATAAATAAATATCCTATTTTATAAATTATATATTAATTGTTTTAATTATTTATTTATTTTTTAATATCGAAGAAAAGAGCTGTCTTAAGGCACCTAGAAGTCCTTTTATGATATTTCTAAATAAATATATATTTTATTTATAAATATATATAAATTAATATTTTTTATAATTATAATTTTGAAATAATAGGATTATAAATTAAATATCTTTGAATTTTTAATTTCTAATAATAGAGACAATTTATAATTAAAAAGTATTAATTTTGGGCGTTGTAGGGGTGCTAATCCTTCCTTAAACGTAACCGACCACGAATCCCTTTTTATTATTAAAAATAATGATTTTTTGGTTAAAACGCAAATCATTTTATCTTTTAATCGATGTTTTCTTAAAACTCTTTTAAAGGATGATTTTTAGGTATTCGACCTACCTGACCCAAAAGGCCGATGGCGACTCCCAAATTATTTTAAAAACCATTTATTCACATCACTTTTCCCGCCAAGTAAAAAAAAATTCGTGTCCGGACGAAAACCGGTTACCACAGATCCCATATGATTTTGTAAAGACGTTAGCTACTAGCCTCGCTTTGAACCTCTCAACACTTACGTCAATTTTATACTTGACTGTAAATATCCATTTGGAACCTAATGGCTTCCTTCTTTGAGGTAACTCTTTAAAGATCCAAGTTCTATTGATGTGATAATGTCAAAGGCCTTGAGACTTTAACAACTTTCTTCCAAGTTGGAATTTTCAAAGCTTCTTGAATTAAATTTGAAATTTTAATACTATCAAAAGATGAAGTAAATACTTTATATGATGGCGTTAATTTTCCATATGCCACATATCTTTCAATAGGATACTTGGAGCACGCTCGAACACCTTTTTTATGAGCAATATGTAAATCTGAATTATCAATAAACAGAACAAGATGCTCACAAGCTGAAGATTCCTTACTCATGCTAATTTCTGAAGCATGAGGTTCCGGTTTAAGTTTTTGACAATCTCTGATTTGTGTGATGTTCTTTAGATGTTCAGCAGGTTGTCTTCTCCTTGAGTAGAGACTAAGTTCTTGATGACTTGCGTCAAGTTGAGATTTGGGTTGAGTAGACTTATTTATAGGAGATTCGAATGGTGTGTTCTTTTGAGGAGTTAGAGAAGGTAAACTTTCTAGGTTGACACTTTGGATTAGAATGTACTCGGATTGAATGTTTTGGAGGCAGTCCCAAAGCTGAAATTCCTTTTTGTTTTCCCACTGAATTGAGGATTTTAAAAAATAAGGTTGGTTTTCAAAGAAGGTGGCATCCATGAAATTATATATTTTCCTAGAAATAGGTGAGTAACATTTGTACCCTTTTTACTTAGAAGAATACCTTAAGAAAACACACTTTATTGACTTGCGATCAAGTTTGGTTCGATTTTGTTAGTGAATGCGAACAAAGGTTGAACAACCAAAAACTTTAAGTCGAAGATCAGAAGAAAACTAAAAAACTTTGATCGATGTGTGAGCTTCACCCACTTGCACTCTAGTCATCGGAATCTACAGAATGTCCGAACTGATATTGACCCTCCTCCCTATAAACGGTGGTGTGAACAAAAATTCACTCGTCAAAGTGGCTCACAAAAATACCAACAGAAATCTCTATGTTTGGCAATGAAATTGATGAAACCCAAACTCTAAAACCAAGTCAAATGGCTTTGGCAACGTGCAACGAAATATAGAAGACTATGAAGAATGTTTGAGAATAGAACGTGCTTATTCACATCATAGGTTAGCCTATTTAAACTAAGGAGACAAATTAAAGAAAATAAATTTCCTAAGAATCTGTACAAATTATTTCCTAATTTACAGCTTCATAACAATCATTTTCATTCATTTGAATGTGATGTTGATGGTAATTACTTGTTTGGAAAAGATCGATATGGAGGCAAAAATTGCCACCTTCAGAGTTCCTGACATAGGAGTTGCATCACAACTGCAACTCGGTGGCATGACAGCTATATGGAATCACAACTATTATAATGCTGCAGTGGCTGCATTGTCTGTGGCTGGACTGGATGTTGGTGTGCATGTTGAAGCCATCAATTCAACAATTGAGAAATTGAGGCCTCCACCTCATCGAATGCAAGTTGGTAAGGAATTACCTTGTCTTTGTCTTTACTTTCTTTTATTCTTTTCCTTTTCTACTTTTCTTTAATGGTACCAGGTTTTTAAAAATTATCGTGTTTCGACTGCTCTTCTAGCCCTTTTATACTTGTAAAATTCCTAATCAATCTACTGGCATGATAAAAGAATATGGTGGTTGTAATTTTTCTGCTAGGCAAGATTTAATAATCTTAATAGTCTTGTATTCGGACTGCTACTTTCTGATTCATGGTTTTCATCATGTAGTACACAAGGATACTCACGGGGTTACATGGGTGGATGATAGCAAGGCAACAAACATTGCAGCTACACATACAGGGCTTATGGGTCTGAAGGGACAAAAGTCAGTAATTCTACTCGGTGGCCTTGCTAAGGTCGGGTATATATCTTTTCCTTTGAATAAAATTTTCTTAATAAGTTCTTTGGTGCCATTGATGTGGCGTTTGCTTCCCGTTCTTTGCATCATAGTGTCTAATTAGAGCTCTGAATGTGGCTGAACTTGGACTTTGCTTACCATCTGAAACGTGCTATTGGTTGAATCATGAGATAATGTCTCATTGACTTCAATTGATCTTCAACTTTCTCTAAACCTTTAGTAGGCATTTGCCCGTACTATAACCGTGTTAAACGCAGGCAATGTTTTTTATTTGCAGGTCTTAAATGGACAAGCATCATGGTTTTGAACAATTGGTCGAACTATTGAAGGGCCATAGATGTGTAGTAACTGTATGTGAGATGTTTCATCTTGAGATACGGCAGTCTCCAATTCAAAATCCTGTCTTCCTGTATTTTCTCTGTTTATTTTGGTTTTTTTTTTTTGTTTTCTTTCTAATGGCTTGTTTCTAAACTGCTTTTGCATGAATGCACAAATTTCGGGTCTTCAGGATTAATTATTCATCAGACATTGTCTGACAACAGTCTTAGCATTCCTTGTATTCAAGCCACAAATCTGAAGGATGCAGCCGAACATGCTGGGAAGATGGCAAAACATGGTTTGTTCTATTTAATGATGAATTTCGATTTAATATGTTTGTTTCCTCATGTAGTCACGTCTGTTCCGATTGTCAGATAATATTGTACATCTGTTATACTTTCTCCGGATCTCTTCCACAGAAGACCTCCTCCAATATTCCTCCGGAGTTCTATACTCTTCGGAGTTACTTGAAGCTTCCAGAGTTTCATAGTCTCTGGGTCCCTAGAAGTCTCTGGAATTCTATAGCTTCCGGTCAGTTATGGTCCTTTGACATGATCACCGAAAGAATCACATGATCTTCCAAAGCCAAATCTACTCTATGACAGTCAGATTTATTCAGTTTGTAAACCTACGGTTAGCTATGATGACCTTAGCCCTAACACAAATACTAAGGGCCGATATATAAACCCCCATACAAAACTGAAGAGCCCATTCTCTCCCTCTCTGAATGGCCCTCTCTCTCTGAGATTACTTCACTATTTATCATCTTCTTTATCTCACCAACCACCTACTGTTACTCTCCATCCAAACCAGAATGAAAGAGCCGTCTACAGCCGCCACTACCCCACATTCCCCCTCAATCCCATCAACAATATCAAGCCATCACACCAAGTTTAGATGCATGGTCCTTCTTAAAACATTACTCATGTTTTCATATTGTTATTGGAATATTGGTAACGATAACAACATTCATTTTATTTATTCACATTGACACAGGTGATGCCATTGTGCTAAGTCCAGCGTGCGCTAGCTTTGATGAATTCAGGAACTTTGAGCACCGAGGGATGTTTTTTCAGGACTTGGCCTTCTCTGCATAATATGTTTTCAACCACTCGGTTGATAATGGATTGTGACTCACTGAATAAATAGCAAATTTGGATATAATTTATTAATAAGCAGCTTAAATTTCATTTGGCCAAAACTGTACATTCTCTTGTTATGTATAATCAAAGAGTTAATTTTGACATTAGAAAGGACATTTCTTTCTAGTTTGCACTTTGGAGTAATATTTTGTTTTCGTGGTTAGGTTGGTATATAGGTCCACCATTGGATCAAAGGGGTGTTGGCATATAGGTCATCTTAGGAACACTCAAAACTTAACTAAGAATAATGATTTATTTTTCTTACTTTATAGCGGTATGGGTGAACCCGTCAAGTGGTCTCAGTGGTTAAAAGGAGTGTTTCAAGGGGAGTATTGTTCTCCTTAAAGGTCTTGAATTTGAGCAGATGCATCTATAGGTATATATGATATTATCTTGTAATCATCTCATACTATTAGAAAATACGGTGACATGGGTAACTTTATGTTTTATATTTCTATAAACTTGGACAATCAACCACGGGATTGGTTAAAGTGGTAAGCAATTTGATATCATTTAAGCAAGTCTTGAGTTTGAGTTCTTGACAATAAAAAAAAAAAAGGCTAAAATGAGTTATTTTGACAATTTTAAAGAACATTTTTTTGTTTGGAAAAGGTGGTTTTGTATTATAAGCGGAAATATAAAACTGAATAAGAGCAAAGTACTCGTTAAAAAATCTCTTTAAACTTACATGGAGAAAAAAAAGTGCACTAAACAAATTGTCAACGGTAGAAAACATCTCAGAAGCGAAAAAACCAGCACAGCACCACCCCTAATCTTAATAGACCGAATTACACTCAATACAACAGATAAAACTACTGTCACCACAAACCATTTAACAAACAGCCCCCAACTACTTTAATGAACCTGCAATCAAACAGGAAGGGGAAACCAATGCTAAACCAAAACAGGCTTTTGAAAACAACCTGCACCAAGGACTATCACAAAACCACAACCTTACTACTACCTAACCCGACCACGACGCTTCTTACCAATGGAAAATAAACATGGTTGCCTACAGAATTTATGATTTTCACTCAAGTACAATTTTAAAGAACGTAATTTATTCAAATTTATGATTTTCACTCGAGTACAATAACTTGGTGTTCTTATGATTTAAAAGATTATTGTCACGACTGGTTGGCAGATGACGTTGTTATTCTTAGTACTGGTCACCGATTTGTGTTATTTCTTGTTTCTTCTTTACATCTTTTCTTTTCTTTTGTTTTTAATAATTTCGCCTTTATAACGCGTTTTTCTCTGTCTTTTGGCACGTTTTCGATTTTTTTTATCGTTCGTTTGATTTTTTTGTTTATTTTCTCAGGGTTGGATTTGATATCATCATGACTGACTAAAATGATACTTATTTGTTATCCTGCTGATTATTTCCTACTTTGGACTCTCGAATTGAATTTGAATATCCGATTTGTATTCATAGATAGTATTCTCATGATACTCGACTCTGATTTACGTTTATCGAGAGTCTTTAAGTTGAAACTCTTATGTTGAATTTAGAATGTTACATTTAATAATTTATAGAGTAAATTAAACCACTGACCATCTAATTATTATCCCATTTCATTTTTACTATTATTTTTGAAATTTTGTCTACTGCGCCATCCAACTATTTAAATGTATTCAATCAAACCACTTGTCATTTACAGTCAACGGAAGTGATGGTGTGGCAGTTAATAAAAATGGTATAATTACACATTTGGACATCAATATTTATACATTCTATAAATTTAGTCCTAATTTAATTTAATTGAATAAATTTAATCATTTAATCATATTACGAAACATGTCATCATTTGTGATTTGGTTTACAAAATCTTGTATAAATTATATTGTGGTTACTGCAAAAAAAAAAAGGAAGAAAACTACTTATTTAGGGACTTAAACCTAAGCAAATTATATGATCTGGGACTTTAATATCAAATTAATACAAAATTTAAAATAAAAATAAAATTTTCATTATTTTTAGACAAAAATTAACATTTCCTCTTTTTCATGATTATAATTCAATGATTTTAATTTTTACATTTAAGTTGAAAAATATTTTCAAAATGCACTTTTTATCCAACAATTATAAGTTTATAAATTATAAAATAAGCACGTCATATGATAACAAATAAATGATAAAAATATAATGTTGACACTAAAATATAATTTTCAAATTCAAAAGTTAAAATTTTTAATTTTTACTTTTGAGTTAAAGAAATGTGTATATTTTATTTTAAATATTATTGTTTAACATTTTTTATAATTTTAAAAATATATTTAAAAAATAATGATGAATAAATTAATTTAAATGGTTAAAATTTTAGTAGGCCAAGTTCTAAACATTAAAATGCTGTTCAAAGTGTTCGAGTTAGCGTCGGGGTTGAGATTGAATGTGGATTGCATTTCGGCTTGGGATTCTTCAATCTACTGCTCGTGGGATAGGTTCCCAACCAAGTATATCGGGCTACCGCTGGGTCAGTCGAGAAACTCCATGGAGTTATGGTTGAGAAATTCCAAGCTACATTGGACGGTTGGAAAGGTAAATTGCTTTCATTTGGTGGAAGGATTACCTTAATTAAGTTGGTTATGAATAACCTCCCGGTGTACTACCTATCATTGTTCCAACTACCTGCGGCTGTAGCGACTAAGTTAAATAGCTTAACGGATAATTTCCTGTGGGGATCAGTGAAGGAAAACCGATACATTGGATAAAATGGGGTAATTTGTGTAAACCCAAGAACTATGGCGGTTGGGGTTTCGTTGATGTGAGAGTGAAAAACTGTGCCTTACTAAATAAGTGGTTATGGAGATATGGGCGGGAAGCAGACAGTATGTGGCGTAAGGCGTTGGTAGCTAAATACGGGTTGGACCAGTTGTCGTTAATTCCCAAAGGCGTTAATCCGAAAAAGTCCTCGTAGGTGTGAAGGAATATTTCATCACCGCTGATCAAGTCGGATGATCTTTTTGCAAGAAATTTAAGATGGGTGGTAGGGGACGGTAAATTAACCGATTTTTGGAATGATTTTTGGACTGAGGTTCCATCGCTTATGTCGTCATTCCCTAGAATCTTTGGGGTGGCGCTTAACAAAAGCTGAAAAGTTGTTGAGTTTGGTCGTGCTTCAAATGGAGTTTGGACATGATCAGTCGAAATCAGAAGAAACTTGTTTGAATGGGAACAAAGGATATGAGACGAGTTCATTCAAGTGTTAAATAAAGCAAAGAAGTGTGGTGTGGGTTCCGATAGATTAGAATGGGTAGGGACCTCTTTGGGAGTTTGCATAACCAAGAGCTTCTACAAGGTTTCATCTTGCATCAGATCCGAGGAGGATAGGTGTTGGAAGCTAGTGTGGGCCAATCTAGCTCCGGCTAAAGTTGAAGCTTTTGTATGGAAGTTGGTCCATCAAAGAATCACGACATTTGTTGAGCTAGGGGTGTTATGGGTGTGCCTCTTCCTAATTGTGTTTGGTGACGGGTGGAAAATGAATCAGCCATCCACCTTTTCTTCCATCGCCTGACGGTGTGGGGGATTTGGCAAAGATTTTTTAGGTCTTGGAGAATTAACCATGTGATTCCTGGAAATATTCGGGACTTCATTCTGCTCTGGGAAAGTCAACCATTAAAAGCTTCATCAAAACCAGTGTGGAGAAAGGCCCTTTTTGCTATTATTTGGACGATATGGCTGTGTAGAAATGAAACCATTTTCAATTAAAAAAAAACTTTAATGATGATCGTATATATGAATTGGCTTTGCTGAGGTTGGGTTTTTGGTGCAAGAGTAACTTTTCTTTTCTGGACTGTGTCCGATTCCCTAATCTTGTGACCGTGACCAGGTAAAATGTAGTGCTGTTATGGATTGCTGTTTCAGGTATGTTCATATGCTTCTGTGTTGGTGGGAGGGTATTGTAGTGTGGGGTAACGTTGGTTGTGCTCCATTTTTCCATATTGTGTTCATGTTAGTACATATTGCATTTTACTGTATGTAGCTGCAGTGGTCTACTGCCATAAGCGTTGGTGTGCCAGGCGTTGTGATTTTTGTGGCTCTTTATTGTGTAAAGCCATAAGATAGAATTATAGTTACCTGCAAATTAGAAATGAGATGTTTAAAAAAAAGCAAGTTTTGTTATGTGATGTGCATAGGGGAGTGATGAGGTTCAGGTTCGTGTTGTGTATAGGGGTGTGATGGGTTAAGTTTTACATTGCTTTTGGGGGCTGCTTTGATAATACTGTTTTGCTTCATTGTTGGGAGTTTGAAAGACTGGTCTTTGGTGTCATGGCTTCCTCTCTGTTTGGTTTCGGTTATAGTTACTCTTGGGCGATGAGTAGTTTTTATGGATTCATGGGGTGAGTTTTGGTATTGTATGCCTGGTTGTATCGATGTTTATTCTCTCTCGATCGTGGTACATTCTTTTTCCTCCCTTATAAGGAGATTTTTTTGACGAGACACGTTTTGTGTTGTACTTTTTGTATGTTTTATCCTCTTAATAACATGCAAAGTACATCCCTTTAACAAAAAAAAAAAAAGAAAGATAATTGTTTATATATTCTGTTTAAAAAATTTAAATTTAAATTTATTTTTAGTTTTAGTTTTGTATTTATTTGAAATTATTTTATAGGTTAATGGTTAAAATTTAAAGATAAAGATTAAAGTAATCATTAGTAGGTTAATTTTAATTTATATTTATTTAGCCGTAGTCTCAATATATTTGATACAAGATTAGGTAAACCAAATCATAAATGAGGCTTAACTTAGTGTCATTGTTCACGTAGCTTCTCCAGCCGCTTGGTCATAGATTTAATTCCCCCTCTCATCTCTTTGTAATTTGTTTTTCCTTTAACTAGATGATGACACGTGTTATCGTATGATTAGAGGATTAAATTTATTAAATTATGATTAAATTGATAGAATCTATAAATATTAATGACCAAATATGTAATTATACTAATTTTATTAACTGTCACGTCAGTACTTCCATTAACTATTAACGAAAAGTGACTTGATTAAATGCATTTAAATAGTTGGATGATTTCATTGACAAAGTTTCGAAAAAGGTGGTCAAAATAAAAAGGGACAATAGTTAGATAGTCAATGGTGTAATTTATCCTAATTTATATTATAATCACTTTGGTGATTATTGTGACCGTCAAGATTCGATCTTAACATCTGGGTTGATTTTGATGGTTACATACAAAGTCATTTCCTACTACTTAACAACCTGATTTATTAGTATATATTTTAAATATTTTCAATCATTTACAATGAATGTTCAAATACCTCTACATATATCATGCTCAAATTCGAGATCTCTAAAAATAATAATCATACTTTTAACCACTAAAATCACTTAGTTCATGTTCTTAACTATACATACATTTAAAAAGTAAAACTTAGTAGTTTGTTCAGGATTGATTTTAAATATAAAAATGAGTAAACTACGCATTTAGTATCTAAACTATATGTTTTAATCCGTTTTAGTATCTAAATTTTTAATTTTTTTAAAATTATACTTTACATTTAGTTTTTGTTTCATTTTAGTATCTCTAATTAAAAACTTAACATGTTTAGTACCTAAACTATCAATTTGGGTCTATTTTAGTACCTAACTTTCAATTTTTTCAAAACTTAACGTTAAATTTTTAACGGGTACTGAAATGAAACAAAAACTAAACTTTAGGTATGATTTTGAAAAATTAAAAGTTTAAATATTAAAACGAATTAAAACTAATAGTTTAGGTACTAAACACATAATTTATCTTATAAAAATTTCTTAAACATCGGATCACGTGGCACTTGATAAATGGAATAATGAAAGTGAGAACAAACAGAAAAAGGTAAGCACGCTCCCACGCTGAAAAACACCTTCCCTCTTCCACACTCCATTGCTATTCAATCTGTTCAAATAAAGTGATAACCCCTGAAAACAAAGGCAGCTAATCAGAGCTTTGGCATTTTTGAGGAAAATGGCATGGGATTTAATTTTCTGGGTTATCTGTTTCTTCATCAACATTGCTCTTCTCGCTTCATCCTTTTATCAGGTATTAATCAATCTTCTCCCTCCTCTTTTGCTTTCTTTTCTTCTCTCTTTTTACATCTGCTTTAATTTTGTTTCGGAACAGTTGATATCTTTATCAGATCTTGAGGCTGATCATCTCAATCCTTTCGAAGCAACGACTCGGATTAATTCCATTGTTCTCCCGGAGTTCCTTGTGCAAGGATTTCTCTGCCTTTCTTTCCTGCTTACCTGGCATTGGTTCATGTTTCTCTTCACTGTTCCCATTACTGCTTATCATCTGATGTTGTAAGTTCATTTACTTATTCGCTAAATAAACTGCGCATTTAAGTTCATTTACTTTACTGGTGGATTCCTATTAAAAGGTGCACAGATCGTTGATTTGTAAATTTTGATTGTTGGCGCTACTTATATAATCGATTGCTGATTTACAAGAACAAGATTTGAATCATGGTAGTATTTTGGTTTTAATTTTTAATTTAGATCCTTTCACTAAGGTATTTCGTACTTTCAAAAGAGTTGGTATCATATTTAGAAAGATGTGGATTCTATAAGATTTCTTCACCATTTCAGAGAGACAGATGTGTGCGGTTTGGTTAAAGGAAAGTCTTCAAGCAAGAAATCTTGGAAGTGATTTTTCTTTTGTTTTTGCAAATGGTAATTTTAGAAGTGATTGACAAAATAAGTTGACAAGTGAATCAGCTCACTTATCTTTAGTATAGTTATGTCTTGAACTACTTTTTGTGGTTAATTTGTTACTGCATGATATTTGACTGGTAATTGAATGTTTCAGGTACTTGAACCAGAAGCATCTTCTTGATGTCACTGAGATTTTCAGAGATCTTAATACCGAGAAGAAATATCGTTTTGTCAAGCTGGCCATTTACTTATTGCTCTTCACTGTAGTTTTGTTCAGGTAATTTCTGAACTTAATCAATATTTTGTTTTTAATTCACTCTTAAATTTAACATTATTATTTCTAGACTGCCATGTTCTTGTCACATGATTTAGTATTTCTAATTAAGCTTATCTCTCTTTGATTGGTGTAGACTTCTTTCTGCTAGCATATTCTTTTTATTTGCTCGGAAGTTTGAAGAACTAGATATTCGGACCTCTCTTTTCTACTAGTATTTTAGGAACCTTTGGTTAGTCCTCTTGTCATATTAACCTGTTATAGAAGTGGATTAATGTGTTTACTGTTTACATTCGTGCCGATATTGCATGCATGAATAACCTGGCAAGTTTACTGTCTGCATCATGCAAAATAGCTTCCAATGTGTCCAGATTTTCATATTAACTTGCTTATCAGATTTTTGATGTAATTTATTTCTCAGGAAACTTGTGATTGTTTAATATTCAAGAATTTCATTTTCAAATACTAAAACTCCATTGTTTCACCAGGAACATGTTATTAGTAAACTTGTGGAATACCCGCAAAAAAAAATCTATTTCTGTATGTATTTTTTTTATAAAAAGGAATGTCATTAAAAACCCCCTTCATAACCGTCAAGCAACAAAGACTCAACAGACATTGGAAGGAAGAAAAGAGTGCCTTAGAAATTATATTGCATAAGAACCAAGTACAATAAGAACACACTACCACCAAAAAACCTATGGCAGCCCACTCAACACTGTGCAAAACAGCACTACATACATGCATATGTTAATACCCTACACAAAAACTACCTCCTAGATTACTCAACCAGATACAAACATATACCATTCCCAAAGCTGCCAGCTAAAACCAATAATACAAAATCAACAACCCAAATAATTCCCCACCATTAACCAATCCCTAGTTTGTCAAATTCAAGGATTCTGTTTGGATTAATAGGTGAAACAAATGTAGTTTTATACATATGAAAGAGTCTATTTCCATTAATAGGTATCGTGTGTCTTTACATACAAGGTGTATCTCGTGAGAACTGCAAATTATTCAAACTTAATGCAAGAATCATTTATTTATATTTTTTCCACAGGAAATTATAATCTTCTAATGTAAACAAAATGAATTAGATAAGTTATTATGGTCACCTGCCTCTCTTGACGAAATTCCTACAACTAGGACCATGGCATAATTAAGCTGTGATGAAAATGCTGTTGTATCTGTCATTCAATGGCATTTTGAAAGAAACATGCATTCATGTTCACACTGGAGACAAGTGAACTATTTCTTTAATTTATGTAAAGATATTGTAGTTCTGTTGTTTTCTGCCTTAAAATATACATATTTTGAAACTAATTGTGGAAAGAATCTAAATTAGGTGATTTGTCACTTTAACGGTGGCTTGCTTGAGCTTTTCTTGAGCAAATTTAGCATCACTAGCTGTTACTAGGTTGAAAATACTAGGTAGTCAGATTCAAAGTGAATGAGAAGAAGAAGGTACCGTGTTGATATGATGTGAGCTATGTGTGGACCTGCAATGAATGTTTAACAATTTTAATGTTGGATTTAAATAGAACTCTTTTATATTTAGAAAACTTTAGTCTACGTAATTTTCTTTCGTAATTAGTTTCGTTAGCTCTTTCTTTTTGCCTTCGTGAAGTTGCTATTTGCTTTTCCTCTATATATATCTATGTCATGTGTGCTGATAATAACCTTCTATTTACAGGCTAGTGATATCTGCGTTCAACTCTTTACATGACGAAGTCGATGTTCATACATATTGATCCCCGGGTGGTACCGTAGGTGGTATTTGTAAGCTTGTAATCCGTATCTTCTGATCCATGTTGAAAGTGAAACTTAGCTAACTGGAGTAGATGTGTTAAAAGTTGATAGTTTGATTAGTGTTTACTGAGTGGTTGTATACTTGGGCTGCCATACCTTCATTTGTTACGGCTTATTGGTACACAGGGGAGGTTCTGTGGACAATTGTTTCAAGTTTTGAAGAATCATGAAGTGAAAGGAGTGTTTTCTCCCCAATTAAGTATGCATTTTTCCTTCCTTTTTTCATGGCCCCACTGCGTTTCCTTTTGGGGTCGTTATGCTGTGCAGTGAAATAATTCAAGGTTAAAAAACAGTTACTTTGGGGCTCAGTCGAAAATTTGATAAAAATCATTTTAAATTGACCGCAACAAAAAATGTTACATTTTTACTAATATTTTCTATTAAACTTAAAATGTTACGAAGAAGGTAATATTTTCGGTTGTCAACCAAAGATGCTACGAAGAAGATAACATTTTTTGTTCAACCGAAAATGTTAGGAAAAATGTAACATTTTAGATTGTATTCAACCTAAAATATTATGAATTTTTATCACATATTGAATTTCGTCTCAAAATTTTCGTTTTTAGTTTTAAATTAGGTTACCAGTCCTTGGACTTCTCTTCCCTTCTGGTTTATTAACCATGTTAAATGGATTGATCCGTTTGCACATTTCCTTGGACTTCATATTTTAACTATTGTTTTTCTTTTTCTACATTAGAGCATAGAGTTGAATGCTTAAATACGGATAAGTATTACGCATGACTTTTCATGAAATGTGAATATAAATTTTGATTTTGTTCGGTTATACACACAAAATTTCGATTTTAATTTAAATGTATATATTAAAATTTGATTTTATTATACATATTTTAAAATTTAAATACATCATTTTATCTTTATATTGATCATCAATATAATTATTTATTTAAACGATATCTGAACATGAAATGATATTTTGTTGATAATTGTTTTAATAATTTGTAAAAATTTGAATTTAATCAATATTTTATATTCATAATTATACAAAATCAAAATCATATATGATATTATGATATTGTATATTTGATAAAAGTTGATTGATAATATTTATATCTTATAAAGTTTTGTTATTTGATCTCATTCTATTTTGGTATTTTTTAATTTATTTTTAGTTTAGTGTTCTTCGAGTTTTAAAAATTTTAAATAGTTTGAGGCGATTAGAAGAGTAATATTTGTTTAGAATCTTTGGTAATTGTTGATAGCGCATGTTAGGGGTGAACGTTTGATTGAGTCGTGTCAAAAAATTTCAAGTTATTTGAGTTGTCGAGTCTTATTTTATAACTTGAAGTTGACTTGAAAATTTTTTAGTTGAGTCAAAAAATTTCAAGTTATTCGAGTTGACGAATCTTATTTTATAACTTGAAGTTGACTTGAAATTTTTTTCGAGTCGAGTTAAGTCAATTTTTTGAGTTTTTGTTTAAATTTAATTATAAATATTTATAATATTATGTTATTTAATTCCATTTTAATGGTTTTTTATAACCACATACAATATATATTTATTCATTTTTTTCATATGTGATATACATATATCATACAGAGTCGATGGACTAAACTTAAATTTGAATATTTATTCATTAATTGTTAAAAAATTTGAGTTATTCGAGTTACTATTCGAATTATTCGAGTTACTATTCGAATTATTCGAGTTACTATTCGAATTATTCGAGTTTTATTTCACAATTCGATTTGAACTTGAAAATTTTTCGAGTTGAGATTATAAAATTACAACTTGAAGTCAATTCGAGTTGAGTTTTGCTCATCCTTAGCGCGCAGACAAACCTTACAAACGCATATGCTCGAACCTAAGATCTCATATAATTTTTTTACGGATTGAAAAGATAATTTTGAATCGAGTTGAGTTTTATTCACAATTATATACAAACCGTGGACCATATCGTGCCGCTCCCCATGGGTCTGGCGTGAATAGTTCATTAGAGCCCAAACATAGGACGACGCCGTGGAGAGAGCTCTTGTTCCTCTACAAAACAAACAAAATCCCCCCCTTTCCCTCAACTGATTATCAGACTTCGGGTTCAGCCACCACAGCAATGGTCTTCATCAACGTGTTCCGCCAACGCCTCCTCTACCGGACCTTTTCTTCACACGCCACTCCAAGTCGCTGGACTTCTCCGGGCCATCAGGACCGACCCAACGGTTACCTCTTCAACCGGACCCCGCCACCTCCTGGGCATTCCCGCTAATGGGAGGATTTGGAGTTACCTTGTTACGTCACCAGCTTCCTCACCATCGTCATCCTTGGTGTCGGCCTCAACGCCAAGCCCGATTTACTATTGAGACTTGGGCACACCAGAAAGCCCTGGAGAAACTCGCCGCCGAATCCTCCTCCTCTTCTGACTAAACTACAATCTGGGTCTGTTGGGTACGGATATGTTCAAACTCTTTTGATTTTCTGTTGTTGATAAATGTGTATTTCTGATAAAAACAAATTGGGTCCTGTTGAAGGATTTCTAGTTTTTTTTTTTGGTTAGATTTTTTTCTTTCGATGATGATGAAAGTCATTGACTTCTTTGTGATCATAATCTAATGTTTTCTTATTTTGGATGGATTGAGTTTAATTTGCTTAACCAAGCGTCTGATGTTCAAAAGTAACTGAAATTAAACTATGGGTCATTGGCTCCGTACCAATATGCCGATGCATATATATGGTATCCTTAGAAGAATGGGTGATCCGAGAACATTCTACTGTTATTTCCTTCGGTAGGTTCTCGTAATGGATTTAAATAGCGGTATGCTATTATAATAACACCTGTTGTATAGTGATAATAGTGTTGTTCGAAATCATTATTGTATTACCGTGTACCTACAATCATTTTGATGGCGTCTAGTATGTCTACAATGACGTCTAGTAATAAATTATAAGTTGTTTTAGAAAAGTGTTAAGGAGCATTTGGATTGTTGAGAAAAAATGTGGCAGTTCTAATTAGGAATTTAAACAGTGGTGTGTTATTGTAATATTTTCCGCCAATGATAGTGATATTGTCTGAAATTATTATTGTACTACCGTGACACTAACAATTAGACTTCGTTATGTCCGTGATTGTAATAAAAGTAACATAATCGAAAATACGATCGTAACCGTAATTTAAATCATTGATTTTGGTAATAAATTGTTTTAGAGAGTGTTAAGATCCTATTAAGAGCAATGTAAAGGAACAATAAAGTACTTATCCAAAAAAAAGGAAAAATAAAGTAATTGAAAGATTCATTATTTCTAAGTCTGAGCAAAACTCGATTTGAAAACTCGATTTTTTTTTAATTTTGAGTTATTCGAGTTAACTCGAATTATCAATTCAATTTTCGAGCTTGAGTCGTAAATTTCAAGTAACTTGAAAAATTGAAAATTTGGATGAGTATTTTGACAAATTTATGATTTAATGTCTGATTTCCTATTCTTCAATTTCTCATTCATTTTAAGTCAAATTTTTACCAAGTTTGAATCATATGCTCCTAAACTATCATAGAATACATATGCATTTTCAATTCCACTTTTTGATAACAAATCTTTTATTTTTTTCAATTTGGTCCCTCAATTTTGCATGATTTTCTTATTTCTTCAATTCATCCTTCAATTCTTATTTTTTATTAAAAATATATTTTTTTAATTTAGTGCTTTAACTTTGCATTTTACTCAATTTAGTCTTTTGACTACAATTGTTTACAAATTCTTTCTTCACATCAATTTTTTGACTCATTTATACTCCCATTAATCTTTTATCCTCAAAATACTTTCTTTGAAATATAATACTGTAAATATATTTTATAATTTTAGATTGTATGTGATATATTAAATAACATTGTAATGTAAAAAGAATATGAAGGAATATATATATCTTATATGGTTAGAGAAAGTCAAAAATTTTGGAATAAATTGTACTATAAAAATATAAATAATTACAATTAAATTTGCTTAGAAAATCGAACAATTTGACTCGAATTTCTTAAACTCGATTGGACTCGAAATTTTTTTTAAGTTAAGTTCGAGTCATAAAATATGACTCGTCAACTTGAACAATTCTAATTTTTTTTATTCGACTCGACCGAACTCTTACCCTCGATTGCTTCATTCTTTTATCCTGCCGTTACAGAGAGATTATTTTTACTTATATATATATATATATATATATATATATATATATATATATATATATATATATATATATATATATATGAGTCCTAAAAAACAAGAATTATAGGTACTAGGTAATCGACCAGAAACTTTTCTCTAAAGACTAATATGCCTCAACTAAGTGTGGATATTGCTAACATTCACCCTCGTGGTTGAACATTTGGATCGTTGAGAAAAAATGTGGCAGCTTAAGTGGGAGGAAACACACAATTGTTGTTGAAATTGAATGAATGGAGTGGTGGAAAGAGCTTTAGTTAGAGGGTGAGCAAATTGCTTTTACGTTGGTATATGGTTAACCTATAGTTGACAATTTAAGTCTGAACATGCGCAAAACGAAAATCTTTGGGGCAAATTCAATTAATTGTGAGTGGGGTTCTTTTTCTACTTCATATCTAGGCCTCCCTTTGGGTCATGCTAGAAACTCAATTGAGATTTGGAAGTCGGTAATGGACAAATTCCATGCTAGATTGGAAGGGTGGAAAGGTAAGCTCCTTTCTTTTGGTGACCGAGTAACGTTGATTAAGTGGATGTTAGCCAATTTGCCAGTCTACTTTTTATCTTTGTTCAAAATGCCTGCCGCCGTGGGAGCTAAACTTAAGAAACTGATCACTAATTTTTTGTGGGGTTCGAATTCCGACAGAGGTATCCATTGGGTTAGGTGGGAGGAAATTTGCAAACCCAAGTGCTTTGGTGGTTTAAGCTGTTTTGATTTGAGTTTGAAAAACCGAGCGTTATTGAACAAGTGGGTATGGAGATTTGGCAGGGAATTGGATAGCCTTTGGAGGAAAGTAGTGATAGCAAAAAATGGGTACGACTCTAATTCTCTAATTCTCTAATTCTCTAAATTGCTTTTCCCAGAATCTTTAGCATGGCTGTTAAAGAAGATGGAAAAGTTGTTGAGTTCGGATCTAAATCTAACGGAGTATGGAAGTGGAATATTGAGCTTAGAAGGGTTTTGCTCGAATGGAAAATACCTGTATGGGAAGATTTCATTTGCACTCTCAATAGAGCGTGTGTGTAGCGCCGTTTCGGAC